AACGATGAATCTTGAGCTCCAACACTGTCACCTTTTGGAGAAGCTGGCAGAAATCCTCTTTGGAAAAGTCAGGAGGCATTTTGAAAGTTTAACTGTCCTCGTTCTCAACAGTTCATGTTTCAAAATCTTCAGGTTCTTCAATAGCCAAAAATAAAATCCAATGTTCTCTGCTTATTCAAGATCACACATCACATCGGGGTCAACAAATTTGTAGAAAACGGCGTGTTCAATAAATGGAATGTCTGAATAATAGCAGAAATCCACTTGGATATCCTCTAAAAATCTTTATTCTCATATGACTCCTTTCAGCTTCACCAGTACACAGCAGTCAGGCCTCAGAGTCAAAAGCCTTGAGCTCGTATCTGGAAACCAAAAGCAAAACAGCCCAGTCTGTTCCAGGCTGAATCGAAGCAGAGACTCTCTGCGCAACTCAGAACTTACTCTCATCTCCTTATGAGTCAACCTTTTTAACCTTTTCAGTCTCTTCCTGGTTACACCCCTGCAGATGGTAACTTATACGTCAGAACGTACCCAACTTTTGTTTCTGCTACAGAGAGGATACACGGATAACACACCAACTCTGTCCCTGTTTTAAACTTATCAGAAAGTATGAAAGCCAACACTGGATTCAGTTAATCATTCACAAAGTGTCCTTCCTGTTGTTTGGGACAAGAGATCCTGAAAACAGTAATAAAGTTTTGTTGTAGGATGTAGATCTGAAGGTTAGTTAGAGCAGAGCTCAAACAGCTGGCTTATTTAATTATAGTTGTAGCATTCATGCTAGCTTAGAGAATACCATAAAGAGCTTAAAAAGTACACTGTTACTCCAATTTGTTTTTATATGTAAAGTATTATAAACCACTGTAGACGTGTTATATTTATCATTGTATTGTATAGATGCTTGTTTTTAACAATAGTATTTTAAGATGTTTGCAGTCTCGTTTCTCTCATTAAAACAATAATAGAACATAAACACCTCAGATCTTTTTCTGGTCCGGGAATGTGAATGAATGCAATTTATCTATTTATTTAAACGCAGTATTCATAAATGAATTTTAAAAATGATTACCTTTGTTCTGCAGGCCTCCCAGACATCATCATGGACGGGGTTCTTCAGGGGTTTTACCCCCGAGACATTCGGGTCAGTTTCAACGCCTCCACCCTCCATGAACATGAGCCTACACGTTCTGTAGAGGCCTGATGCACCATCAGCCACAGAATCCAGAGGGGAAGATGAATGAAATCCTACAAATAAACAATACAGCCTTGGAACAGTTAAATCTGTCCCCTGCTTTTGTTGCAGTGATACTTCAACCTCTCTGCTTCCAGCACATTTCACACTCTTTCTTTGGAATTGGTATCAGTTGACAAAAAACCCCAAAAAAGTGAGGATCCAAATCATCACTACTTTGATGCTAACATCTGTAAAGACATGACTACAGTGTACGTGGATGGATGCTCATTCCACCACGACAAAATCTGCAAAGCTGGTGTTGGAGTGATCCTACTCCCAGACCAACAACAAGAAACTTTTAGTTTCAAATTAGGCTCTTGGTCCTCTCAGTACGCTGAGATTGCTGGTATCATAGTAACCCTCCAGATCATATTTGATTGACGCAGATGATGCTCCCCATACATCTTTTGTACCAACCTGGTGACACCACTATGGCGACAGCCTAAACCACACAACAGTACATGAAAGATTTGGAGAAACATCTAAAAACACCTTTGCTTTTGCTCAAAGAAACCTCGAGAAGTCCGCGGAGGGACGCAAAACATACTGTGACCAAAAAGCCTCTCACGAAGAACTCCAGGTGGGAGAAAAAGTCTGGTACTATGTGTTCGCCCTAACACAGGGGCAAAGAGAGTCCAGGACTGGAACTCTCGCTCGCAAACTAATGCCCAGGTGGACTGGACCCCACCTGATAACAGAKAAACTGTCTTCAGTTGTCTACCAGATCAAAATCAGCAAAGGACAAAAGGAACCAATCACCAAATGGGTCCATCGCAACCAAATCAAACCTTACAAGATGTTCGATAGTCTAACAAAAGATCAAGATCTCGTCACCAAATCAAACACCCTTCAATCAAAAACACCCTAAAAAGGTAAATAGGTCTTTAAAACAGATCTAAAAGAGAAAACTCTTGTAAAACTTAGAAACAATAAGTCTAGAGTTAAGCCTTAAAAGATTTTCAAATAGGTCATAACAACCAGTTAAATAAACTCTATTTAGCTCGACCAGCAGAATGAGCTGAAGTATTTTTAACATCTTATTGCTTAGCTACTAACTTGGTTGATGTGCGTATGTTCTAAACCTTTCATTGTTAGTAATCTGTTCGACACGGGAATAACATCACTGTGGGACGGTGAATAGCATTGTACTGGTTCTGAGCACCCACAGCCAAGAAWTCGAGGTTTTGTATTGCTGTTAATGAATGGAAGTCTAATATGAAATTTGACTATGCCAACATGCAGTGATTGATAAGTCTCACATATTTACAGAGCAATGTAGATTAATGCTACCTTAGGTTCCGTAACCTACATTGACCACACCTTTTTGTTTTCACCTCGACCCTGCTCGAAACAACACCAATCGGGGGGGCTATCTAATCTTTAAAATGAGTCTTGACATTGACTCCAAAAATGATAAGGGAAATGTTGTGACATGATTTAGCAAGAATGCAGAAACACGTTGGAATAAATGCACAGAAAGTCTGTGTGTATGGTCATCAAATGATTTAATTCTGAGCAACAACAGAGCAGAAGTCAATCAGGAAATCTGCTGAGTTGTGACTGGCGCATCAGCGGAAAGCAGCCAATAATATAACATCATGATAACATCATGTGACAGTTTACAACCAATCACAAATCGCCATCTGTAACCATCTAACCAATGACAGGGCTGTCAGCTTGGAAACACCTTATCAGAAATTAAAGAGGTCATACATTGCTGGAGTCTAGAAGTCTGGCCGATAGAGTAAAACAGCTGAAACTAGTTATAATAAGATAAGATTACTGGACAGTGTCAAGGTAGAACAGATATACATAATTAATCCATAACAATCCCTCCTATTGAGTAAACAATACTGAAAACCAAACCAAATGGAATAATTATGAAACGTCCAAACACAAATGTATCACCCAACAACAAATACAATGGAAAAATAAGGGAAAAATAGTGCAAGTCAAATGACGACCAAAACCAGATACATACAATCAATGTAAGATACAACACGAAAAAGGCATTAATGACAAATGAAACATTATTACACATCAGAAGAATCAATGAAGAAAAACATGTTGAAATTAAAAAAACTTAAAAGTCCAAACCTCAGACAAGGTATCACAACACAAGTTCTGCCTCCCAGTGAATTAGATGACATGTTCCACTTATGTGCTATCAGAATCTTACCTTGGATAAAGTGTTAACTTAATAACAACTAGTTGTCAATAAATGAACCTTAAGTAATGCAAATTTGGACAATGTGCAAAATTCAGTTCCCACCCCATGCAATTCAAAATCACTAAAAACAAAACCACAGAGCCCATAAGGCATGAACTCAAAATGCATGGATTACTGGCATGTGCTGGCTCGTGCAATGAAGAGAAGAAAACAAAAACAAAAGTTTAAAAAAATAAACAAAAACTAAATCTAAAGTCTAAATAAATTAAACTAAAGGAAATAGCTCCCCCTCCTCTTGTTACACCTAAGCTAAACCCGGAAGTAAGCTCAGATCTAGTCCTTCTGTGAATGACAGACGTTTTTAGACGGCAACTCTCAGCTCCCCGGACCTCAACGACAAAACCCAGACGGGCTAATTCTCCCTCAAATATGTCTTCATGGGTACCAGGCTCGAGGTAGCAGAATACCCCCTCCCCAGCTTACCACAAACGCAGAAAGGAACAAATAAACAAAAATGTGACTGTCGTGGGAGGAGTCTCCTTGAGACTCAGCTGACAATCACCTAACTTCACCAGGAAGCTGCACAGAAGGACAAAACACTTTAAAATCATAAACCAAACAAACAAAACAAACCATAAAATTAAAAAAAAAACACAAAAACCCAAACATCCAGAAGTGTCTAATTGTTTTTAAAATTATGTTATGAGATGGGCCTCAGAAATGGACCAGGGGTAACCCTGATACCACCCAGGAGGGGGAGCTAAATACCAACCCAGCTACCCCGGGCGTCAAAACAATCCCTGAGAAAAAACCCCCAGGAAATTCCAAACATTGCACAGACATAATTGCATTACAGCCAGAACAGTGAAACATTTAAAATGCATAATAATAAGCCAGTCAGAAGAGCACACTGTTAGTCCAGTATTTCAGATAGAGGCATTTTATATTGAGTGTCATGGTGGCGGGAAAAATGCAAACAGTGTGGCAAAAAGCACTCACACCCAGCTAATTTAGCCTGGGTATAAAAAAAACTGTCCTGTTCTCTTTATTTCATTAAGGCAGAGGGTGTGTGATCAGAAACCACACCAAAATATAAGGGCCAAAAAGTGTTGTGTTTTAGAAACCTCGCCCAGACAGAGAGCAGCCGCAAAACACGGCCTGCTCAAAGGTGGAATGTGACGATGTGAGAGGGATGCCCCCCCCTCAAAAGGACCCCCAGGAAACGCCCGTTGGAAAGGCTAGCACGAGGTGGCATCCAGCTGGTCCAGGTGGAAATGGAGAACCCCCCGATGAGAAACAGCATTTGTCCTGCAAAAAAAAAAAAAATAACTCACACAAACACAGAGAAAAGACAAAAATTAGGAAAAATTCAAAAACACTTTTTCAGACACAGTTCGTGTGTGAAACTGATGATGATTAATTTATATCATTTTAGTTTATGAATAATATCACTCAAAAACACATCAGTTCTCCATCTTATCCTCATATATAAACAAAAAATGCCCTTGTTCTTTGAACAAAGGCCAGGGGGACGCCAGGTGTCATATTCTTTAAGCACACAGATTGCACTTCTCTCTGCTGCTTTTGGCAAAAGTTCATTCACCATTCATTTAGCAATGTAATACATTCAACTGCCCCCCCCCCACCCCCCAGGAACTGCCTGTGACACAGGTTCTCAGTTTTCCCTTTTATGTACAGTATCTATGCAAGTAACTTATCAGCTCTGCTGCACGTCTCTGTAAGACCAAACAAATTTGCAGTCTCAGCTTCACAGATGTGGTGGAAAAAACCCCAGGAGGAACCGATGTCATCACCTCCCACCCCACACACACACACACACACGCACACACACACATGCACCCCCTCCCTCAAACACCCACGAGCTGGGCCCCCACACCCTTTAACTGTGCCTCAGTTGAGATCCAGCGAGAATGAGTGGGCCAGATCGCGGGGCGCTGGGCAGCTCCCACTGAGCCATTCAGGCATGGTCTCACCGTGAGATAAAAAACCTGAAATGGCTGAGGTAAAGGCTGCGCAGCGACGAAAGATGTGACAATATGAAATGTTAGAGGAGACAGATGTACGAAACGCGTGCAGCGCAACGCAGCTAGGAGTGGAGGTCCACCCACTTTTCCAGATGTTTTAGAATGTTTTCCAACAACATGGGGGGGGGGGGGGAACAAGGTCAGATCTGAAATACCCCACAATGTGTATTTAAACAAAAGGTCCGCCATGTGAGACTGCATACACAGACGTGTTTCTGCAGACTCACGATCATCGTATTTAGTTTTAGATTTAAAAATATGCAAACAGTACTTCCTTATCAACACGTTTAACCATGGTTTTTCCCCTCTGAGGACTCTTTTTTTAAGTGACAGGGCTCTTTAAAATGCAGGGGACCAGCTAACCAAAAATAACACAAACCTCCTTGATGGGCCACAACCACTGGCAAGCATTATGCAAAATTCAACAAAAAACCCAAACAATAAGTAATCAGATGTTCGTATTTCTCTAAATACTAAGATCAATTTTCCCAGCTCAGTAAGACAGTCTAAACAGGTGAAGACCATAATAAACTATTGAAAAAACTAAACACAAAAAGATAAGGTTTCAAAAACCAACCTGTGTGGTCACGCCTCACATAGGCAAAACATTAATTATGCCAAAAACACCCACAGGCCAAATAACATCTGACAAAAAAAAAACATAATCCAAAAAGAAATAAAATTATCAGGTTCACCCTTAAAGCCAAAAATTAGTCACTAGAGGAAAAGATAGACAGACAAACAGAGTTAACACTATTGTTCAGTGAACAATAGTAAACAAAAACAAACTAATATAGCCTTTGTCAAATAATTTAAATAAATCCAAAATTCAAAATTAAAGGCTTTCCCTCACGTGAGGCCTAGAATAACAGAAAAATGTTGTCACAGAGAACAAAAGGCTTTTTTTCCCAAACAGACAATAAAATTAAAGAATTTGATGTGGGTCAAAACTGCAGACAAATTTCCTTCTTTTCTTTTTTTTCAAGAATAATGAGCATGTGTCAGTGTTTTACTCATCTTATTATGGGAGGGCGGTGCCATTTTGGACTGTCTGTCCCTCGGCCCGTCCGTACCCCAACCCCCCATGAAACTCGGCACGTAGTGGTCATCGCACAGTCAGCTGTACCT